CCAGCATGCTGGCTGGGGAATTCTGGGAGTTGAAGTCCACTCATCTTAAAGTGGCCAAGTTTGGACAACACTGATTTAGGGGAACTGAAGTGACCTCCCCCCCCCCAAATCTGGAGAGAGCTTCTCTGTCATATTCTAGAATCCTGGCTAGCTAGCGATCCTTGTGATTAGGGGACAGCAAGGCCTAAACGCTGTCTGAACGTGGCAAGAATCATGGCCTGTTTTTGCATCACAACATCAGGCTATATCTGAAACTTCCAAACTTGGCTGGGCCTAACCCTAACCCTCGGCTGACTAGGAAGTGTCTTACACAAACACAGTGCCAGTCCTTTGAGATAGGCCAGGCCAGGAATTAACCACCATAAGAACTACTAGAATTCTACTTTACTGGTAGAGGGTATAATAGCAGAATCTTGACAGCCTAGCAGGGATTCTCTCTCCCTCCGTCTTATACCAAACAGCAGGGTTCCTCAGCAACTTTAAGATGGGTGGACTTCGACTCCCAGAATTCCCCAGCCAGCAAAGTTGCTGAGGTTGAGGAACCCTGCCAAAGAGCATCAAGGCAAGGCAATCTTGAGTTTCTTCCTCACCCGCTCCTGTCTTTCCGGGCTAAGTGGATGCTTTTGTAACGGTTGCTGCTTGCTTTCTTCCAGGCTACCTCTGTGCTCCTCTACACACATCTTGTAGCTCTTGAAACACTGGATTTTACAGTGACTGTCTTTATCTTGACTGTCTGAGTTGTCCACGAACTCTTTGGGATATGACAGTATCGCCTCTGTGGCCAATATAAGTGTGCTTATAACTCGTCCTTGATGGGGAACAAAAGAGGGGGCAGATCTTGTTCTGTGCGCGGCTTTCCATGGGTGCACCCGGCAGACTGCCGCAAGGCACAGAAGCTTGGAAAAGGTGGCCGTTGGGTCTGAGACTGGCATTTCTCTTGGCCTGGGGAGAGGTCGTGGTTTGGCACCTCTCTTCCAAGGGGCAAGCGGGGGTGAGCAGCAGAGAGGATTTTGGGAGAGCCTTGGTGGGTCCTCCTTCTCCTCCGACGTTCTCTTCCTTCTTTCCAGTAAATAAAAGAGGAGAAGTAGACCCTCTCTGGTTGCATTTGCAGGACACACACAAACTGCTGACTGAACTAAGCAATCCAAAATTGTGACCAGCGCAGGTGTGTCTGGAGGGGTGGCCAACAACATGAAAAGGGCAGGTGCGGCTGGTAAATCAAGGCCCTGCCCCTGGGTACATGCGCGGTGAGGACAATGCACATGGAAAGGGGATGGAGCTTGGATTACCACTCAGGCCACCACTGTGGACACCCAACCAAGTTTAGCATGTTGTGTATATGCGCTACTAGGTCCTTACCTGGCTAAGCACATTGTGTAAATGCAGCCCCTAAGATGGCTGACTTATAAAAATCGGTTTAATAAATAAATAGCTCCCTTATCTTTAACATCCTTTCATTCTGTTTTATTTTGCTTTTCATATTTTTAATGTATTTATTGATTGTTTTTAGCTTTGTTGTATGCCGCCCAGAGCTGCCTGTGGTGAGAGGGGCGGCTATATAAATTGGTTTAATAAATAAATAAATATTGGTTATAAGCCGTGCTATATTTCACAATGGTTCACAGGTACTCCTCGCTTAGCAATCAAAACTGGGACCGGCAACTTGGTCACTATGTGACAGTCACTAAGTGAAGCATCATGTGACTGTGAATGGGCTTATGACCTCACTTCTGCCATGGTTGTTAAGCAAATCGCCTGTGGTCATTAAGCATGACTTCATGTGACCAAAACTTGTGATTTTACTACCAGCTTCTCCATTGACCCTGCTTGTCGGAAGCCAGTTCTGAAGCACCTGAATCTCAGTCATGTGACCTGGGGATGCTTTGACAATTGTAAATGTGAGGACTGGTCATAAAGGTACTTTTTCAGTGCTGTTGTAACTTCCAACACTTGCTAAACATGGTGGTTGTTAAACGAAGTCTACCTGTATTGAATAATCTGCCACTGGCTAGGTTCAAACAAGTGGGAAAGCATGATTTACAAGATCATATAGTGGCCAGATCCATAGAAGATGCTAAATTGTCTCAAGATGAACAAGGCTTTGAGGGTTTCGATAACAGATCTCTGACTCAAACCGCTGATCAGCAAATAATAATTCTGAAGACCAAATGGGGGAACTTCCAACTCATGGGCTCAATCCAGCCCTCCAGACTGGGTCATCTAGCCCAAAGGACTCAGTGTAGACCCCCTCCCCATCATCTCTACCAAGAGTCTCAACTGCACCAAGTCTTCCCCAGAGCTGGATGATGTCACTGGGAGCAGGGCTTGAAGGTTGCCCTGCCCCAGACTTTCTTGGCACAAGTGGTTAACAGCTCACAAGTTTTTGGAAAGGAGCTTTTTGTCAATCCTGCCTGGAAATCTTTGACACAGCACAACTTAACAAATGATTCTTGGATAATATAGTTGGGTTGTATAATATATGCCCCTACCTCCAAAGAA